CTGGGGAGCAGTGTGGGGTTCAGGGTCCTGCTCAGGGACCCAGAGTGGCAGTCTGTGGGAGTAGGGCTGGAACTCAGAACCTCAGGATTCCAAGCTCTATGCTCTAACCACTAGGCCGCCACTCCCCCCATACATCTTCATGACGTGAGGAAGGTTGTGTTACCGTGGTGAACACGCTGGAGGCAGTGGACCACGACAAACATGGAATCAGAGGAATGGGTTTGGGCCAGTTGGTCACCGCCAGGGACGCCATCTGGACACAGAGACACAGAGGAGCCTCCATCAAGCTCCTGATCTTCAGCTACAACATGAAATGCTTATTATCAGTTAAAACCATCATGATGATAAGATTAAAAAGGCAGCTTTCCTCAGATAAGTCTATGGAGAGAGAAACAGAGCAAAGTTCTGATTGGTTAAGAGACCAAATGACAGAAGGTTTACTTCCTCCTCACCGGAATAATGATTAAGTCCTGGCTGGGTCTAAAACACGGCAAAGACACCTTGAAATGTTCTGATCATGAAATGAAAATCTGTAAACAACCAGAGGAAAGCTGCCGACTCCTACTCACATATCCCCCCATAGAGATGCCGGTCATTCCCAGGGGCCAGTATCCTTCCCTCTCCAGCCAGCGCAGAAGCACAGTAGACTCCAGGATCAGAGCCCCTCCCATCACAAACAGGTCCGACACGTTCTTCAGACACGACCTCCTACAAACCAAGATCGTTTCCAGTCAACTGGATGATAGGAACCAACTCTTTCTGTTCCGGTCCGGTTCGCCCTGATGCTGCCAGTCGCTCCGCACTATTCAAATTCAAATGTTCCCCTGCTGCATCTTCTCATGGATAACTGACATTATCTCTAATCGTCCTCTGTTTCAAAAGGCCTTTCAGTTTGAAACCATTTTCTATCCCATCAGAATCTTCAGTTTTCATAAACAAAACAAATATTTCTATTATCAAGAAGCCTTTTAGGGAGTAAAAAAAAAACATTTCAAACCCACAAACAGAAAACATCTAAAGGAGCAGAAAGCTTTATTTAAAAAAAAAAAAAAACGAGAAAAAGAGAAAAGTTTACTTACAGCTGATCTTTGGGTTTACGGTATCCATGTGAGACATCAGTCAAGGAACAAAGGAGACTGGATGAGAACTACAGAGGTTCAGGTTTTCAACCCAGGATGCATTTAAATACATTTATCCCATCTAAGATCTGAGCTGCCAGTAAATTATTGAAACTGATATTTAGGCTAAGAAGAATGAAAACAAGGAGGACTAAACTCAGACAATTTCACATATTTTCAGGGAAATAACGGACTTAGAAATCTTAGATTTAAGCCAGAAAACCGACATTTACATGATTAAAGGTAAAATGTTTCAAGAGATGAGACCATGAGGAGAGACCACAAGATCATTTCAATGTTAAAGTTTTATCTTTAATCATGAAAGTTTCAGAGAGAATAGAATTCCACTTTATCCCATCCCCTTGGTTGAGCAGTGGGCTGCCATCATGCGGCGCCCGGGGAGCAGTGTGGGGTTAAGGGTCTTGCTCAGGGACCCAGAGTGGCAGTCTGTAGGAGTGGGGCTTAAACTCAGAACCTCTGGATTCCTTTTTTTTTTTTTTTACAGTGTCCTGTCTGGCGATGTGACAATAAGAATAATGTCATGATCTGGCCTGTTTGCTCCTTCTTAATTAGTCATTCCTTTCACCTGTCATTTTTCCCTCCCTGCCTCAATTATAATTTATTCCTCTCACCTGTTTCCTCTTGGTTATATTCAGTTCAGCCTGAGCATTCAGTGTCAGATCATTACTTGTGTTTCTGTTAGCCTGTTTGTCTGAGTTTTTGCCTTGGTTCATGTCCTGGATCCTAGCTGCCAGTGGAAAGAGGGTTTTAGTGTTTGTCTCGTCTCCTGATCATCCACTGTTCCTCCCCTGCTGAGTCCTCTGGGTTTTTGGCTCAATATGTGGGGAGGTTCAGTTTTTATCCAGTAAGCCTGGCTCCAGGGAGGACACCAGTTTAAAGTCCTGCTTCAAGTTCCGGTTCCACGTCCCAGACTCCGGGTGGCAGCCGGGAAACAGGGGTGTGAGAAGACCCCGATCCTCCCTACGCCTGCTGGAATGTGGTGTTGTTGCCTGTTGCTCTCAGATGTAATTAAAACTGGGAGTACCAAAAGGGGGTGTCCAGCACAGTCCACCCCCCCCTCCGGGAGATAGCCGGTGCCAGCGTGCCAGCGTACCCGGCACCGTCTAAATGCGAGAGGAGGTGGGGGGAGCCGACCGTGGGTAGGTCCAAGTAATAAGCCCCCCACCCCAGTGTCTAAAATGCTAAATAAAATTGGGGTGGGGGACGTCATCAGAAGGTGGGCTCAGATCCCGGGTCCC